TAATAATAATATAATATTGCCTGTAAATACTTTGTGTATGGACACACAGCACACGCAGTCAAGATTGCCCTTGGCTCGTCAAAATTGTCTAATGCTAGTACTCAAGGAGAAGGATTACTCACCCAGCATTCAGTTTTGCTTTGTCGACCAATGTTCGAGGCTGATACATTTTGGCAAGTGTTTCTGGCCCACAGCTAGGAGGGCTAAAAGTGAGGGTCCTCCAGCTCTCTTGTGCCAAGGGGCTGTCACTGAACCATGCAACAGTGGAAGGGACAGGCGTACCAGTGATGGGATCATAAATGGGAGTCATGGTTTTGCTATATAAGCCGGGACTGGCTGAAATATTGAGAACAAAAAAACAAAACAAAAAAAGTTCGTAACATCACTGAATGTCAAAACAAGAGATAGTTTTCTAATATAAACTACCTTCATAACCTTGAAAAACAAAAGCTTTTGGGGGCTCTATTTAAGAGTTTTCCAGATAGCTTTCAATAGAAATCTGAATTCCAGCAGCCAAGGCCACCTAAGTCTGCAAGGACAACTATGCTTGCTCAAAAAATTAGTTAAATGTACTTTTATTTTTCTAGCTTCAGATGCACCTAGGTCCAATGTAATATGCCATAGTTATAGTTCATAATATCTCTTTATGGGATTTATACCTTTCCTTTCCTTCAGGTGCTCAAGATGTTATACACAGCGTCCCCTTCTTATTATCCCCCCCCAAACACATCTTGAAGTAGGTTGGGCTGAGCGAGTGACCTGCTCAGTGACACCCAGGGAGTTTCTGTGACCGAGGGTGGTCTAGAACCTGGGTGTCTCTGGTCCTAGTCCCACACCTTCATCACTATATCCCTCTGTTTAATGCTGGAAACTGTAAAGCCAATTACAACATCTGTCAAATAGATCAATGGAGCAAATGAATGTACATGTAATTAATCAACTCCAGCTTTCCATAGCATCTAGCTCACTATGGTTGCCAAGCAGAATTTTACTGACAATTAACAAGGAATGATATTCTGAATCCTAAGGAGTTCTAATAGGAAACCAATATAATAATGTATGCTTTGTTCATCAATTAATCTTGTATTAGCTACAATTAACATTAGAATAATATATTGATGCTAAGACGTTATTTATTTTAGGATCCTATTTATTAGCTGCTAATGTTACAGCTAAATCTTCCTGGTTCCTGCCACAACTGATTTTTCTAATATGTAAATATCACTAATAATAATTGTTCTACAGATGGTATTGTGCCAGACATGAAATGCATGGCCCTCAGGTTCTTGCAAGTCTTTCTCTAGAAAGAGGGGAGAATGCTCCCAAGGAGACAGGTAGAGACAATAGTGCTAAATCTTTCATGATGCAGAATAGGGCACTGAGTTTAAATATACATATCAATGAGCTCCATTCAAATGGATAACCATTAGATGGAAGCAAAGAGTTCCTGCCACCTAACGACCATCTGGATTTTTGCAGCTTGGATGTGGTGTGCATATCAGCAAAGCAGAAGGAAAATTACATATGCAGCAGGAGACAGCAGGTTTTAACTAGTATTTTCCTTGAAGACCCAAATCTAAGTTGCAACTGATAAAGACCTGTTTCACTTTCCTAACCCACCCAAAAAAAAAATTAATGCATGCCGCTGGCACAACTTATTAGTGTGTATCTCTGAAGCCTGAAAATGTGTAACTGAACTGAACACCTATTCCTCTCCTCTCCTGATGGCAGCACTTTCAGTCTGGCAGTCCCCAGTAATCCCCGTCATTCTCAGTCAGCAGAGCCAATACTAAAACCAGCTATAGACTAACAAGCTCAAAGGTTTCTTTAACCTACTAATTACACTGGCCTTTTGTTCTTACTTTGTTCTTACTTAAGTTCAATGTATAGAGAAGGCAGCCAAATAAAATTGATAAAATCAGTATTGCCTATTGCATTGTTACCTGGCAATCCCAAACTCACTGGAGAACTGTGCAGGTTTAAAATATCTTCTATGACTGGTTCATTGTCTTTGTCTTTTTTCTTTTTCTTCTTTGTCTCATTGGTTGGCTTCAGCAGAGACAGTTCTTCTGATCGTCGAATACCTGCAATACAGTTGAAAATACAAACAGGCTGGAAAGACCAATGGGTTCCATCACCTAAGAGAGTCCATTGATTGGACACATCATGTTCTTTTGTTCCTGCTGGATTGTTAAACGGCCAAGGAGGTGAGCCATGGTTGAGCCCATGCCATGAGGGAAGGGGTTTCTCCTGTCTTGAAAGAGATGGTGATGTGCCCTCTCCTCAGGAGGCCATCCTTGGACCCAACAGTTTCTGACAACTACTGATCAGTCTCCAACCTTTCCTTTTGGGGGAAAGTTGTTGAGAAGGTGGTTGATCTGCAGCTGATGAGAACTCTGGAGGAAACAGATTATCTAGACCCATTTCAGTCAGGTTTCAGGGCAGGATTTAGTACCGAGACAGCCTTGATCACACTTGTCAATGACCTATGGCTGAGCCAGGATGTTGGTAGTGCATCCATTCTTGTGCTTCTTGATCTCTCAGTGGCTTTCGATACAGTTGACCATGGTATCCTTCTGAGCCAGCTCTACCTGTTGGGGATTGGGGGAACTATTTTAGGGTGGTTCTCTTCTTTCTCCAGGGCCAGTTCCAGTTGGTGTTGGTTGGGGGAGAATTTGCTTCCGGGTGTGTTTCAAGGTGCTGGTTACCTATAAAGCCCTACATGGCACAGGCCTGGTTACTTGAGGGACCGCCTATCTCCTATAACATCTGCCCAGCCAATTCGATCCTGCAGGACTGGCATGCTCTGGGTTCCTTCGATTAAACAATATAATCTCTTAGGATCCCAGAAGCACACCTCTGTAGCAGTGCCTGTCTTCTGGAATGAGGTTCCCTCCGAGATCCGGATGGCCCCCACTCTGCTGTTGTTTAAAAGAGCTGTGAAGGTCTGGCTCTTCGCCCAGGCCTTCAGTGAGGGAGAATGAGACCCCTCACTTCATTGTACTTGACATATTTTTTTCTTTATTTTTTATGTTTTATTGTAATTTCTTTGATTGCTGTAAGCCGCCCAGAGTCATTGAGAGTCAAGTAGCATACAAATGATAACAACAACAACAAATTGCTAACTGGTGTGGTAGCTGATGCAGTCCAACAGCATCTA